TTTTGGATTTACTACTATATTTCCAAGATTTGTGTACCATTTTCATTCGTATTAAGTTTGATCGATCACCATTGTTTGACACCCCCTCTCATGTTAATTCAAATTAGAGGCATGACAAACGTTAAATTGTATTCAACGCATTATTTTGAACTGATGTTTATTAAAACTGCAAATTTGAGGACACTGCCTTCACCATATTATTCAGGGTCTATTAACCACTTTAGTTCGGAACAAACAATACAATTACAAAGAGTTGCAATTGCTGTTTTCCCTATCCCAGAATCTCAAATTATGTTGACATTGTAAGCCCCATGTAAATATTTATTGTAGGTCACCATGGCAACAAGCATTCATATTCATGAGATGTATGGTAATGTAATTTGAGTGCCTCATTCCCATCCTCAGACTTGCATTTTCTCAAACATACTTAAAACAATTTTAGCAAGTGCAATAACATAGACATAACATATGTTTTTCTTTGCTATGTCTTAAACCGGAGGGGTCGTCACGCAACACGTGTTCGAATTTGATGTAAATAAGCAATCTGTTGTATTTGCCACTTGGGACTCAAGTTTCAAGAACACGCTTGCGACAACCCCTCCTCTTTAATATGATGAGCACAAATGACTTGTAATAAACTTGATATATAAGTGGCAGTGAGCAATGCTAAAGACCTGATTAGTTTTGGTAACAAATGAACATAATTATTGTCTATTTTGCATAATATGCATAATCATCACTTCACAGACGATTAGTTTAATGTTAAAAAATATGCACATTGATTATCTAATTATCATTAGCCAATTTCTGATATCTCAAAAAATCATAAATTGTGATAGGGATGCTCTGGAATAAATTACTAGTAGACTGAACACTACAGATGTAAAATCAAATGTATTTTCTCTAAGTATAATTATAAACATCAATAATTTGGATCACATTGATTTCCCCGTTGTGCGTCTCAAATAGCACCCAAATATTTGTTCCCAAGCTTCTTGTTTGAAAGGCTAACCTTAAATTTTGAATTCATTTTTAATATGTTTAATACTCTGAGCACTGGAGTTCTTTCTAAACTTTCTTTGATTGTTTGGTGTTCTTAAAAGGCACAAAATTGGGTCATACCGGGTTATCGGTATATAACCACATTCTTCAAAAAGGGAACTACGGTTATTGACATACCAAATAATTGTGCCAGACGGGGAGGGGGTTGGGGTTGGATTTGAGCGTGATGGGTGTTATAATCGGATAAATGTCTTGTTGTAAAATGCTGTAAATTTGGAGGTGGAGCTTATACTCGAGCAGGGGTTTATACTTGGACAACTACGGTGATATAAATTGGTAAAAATTAATTGCAGTGGGAAGCCAGGTGTTTTTATGAACAATGTGTACTTCACAACTCTATTCATTTGAATTCAACAATTCAGCCTATTGTCTTCACAACATTCAATTAGTACTGGTATCATGTACATACATTTTGAAGAAGTATGTAAATCATATCTAGATGTGTTATCGAATTATTTCGTCATTATTTTGTTGATATCCTCTTCATTTTAGGTGCTATAGGGCAGAACTGTACATTTGAAGTTGATCTGTGTGGATGGATTAATGCCATCGATGATGATTTCAACTGGTTTAAACAACAAGGTCAGACTGGTACACCACATACTGGACCAAGTGGAGATCATACTATTGGAGGTACATATATGGCCAAAATTACCCCCCCCCCCCCCCATTATTCTATTGTCAAAGAAGTTTTCAAACAGATAAAACACTTTATGCAAAAAAATAAAGGTACTGGAAACAAAAAAAAAGCAATGATTTGAATCACTGCTCTCTTTTTTGACCAGTTATAATTTGTCAAATAATTCGTTCCATTTTTAGAGTTTGGCAAATTTGAACTCTAGAAATTAGCACCAAATACTGAGAAATAAAATGGGTTCATGGAAAAATGTTCTGTTTCTTACTATAAGAACCAAAGATGCAAGATTGAGATTAAATTTTTTTGTTATGCTTTGATGAAGTTATTTCTTTGTTAAAAGGCATGTTTAACTTTTGTGTTTTAAACACTGTATTTTGCATATGCAGTATACATGGTATACCCTTCAAGTATTTATTTTTATTAAAATTAAATATATGCTTAAATTCTGCCCAGAAAATGGTTGGTTTGTTTTCATTGATAATAATCAAGACAGTGTGAGAGGGGAGACAGCTAGATTGGTCAGTCCTGATGTGAGTTTCAATGCAGGTGAACACCAATGTTTAACTTTCTGGTGAGTACACTTCCATTTAAATGTTTTTATACTTCAGTACTGTAAAACAAAGTTGTTTTACCAGGAATTAGACAATTTGAAAAAAAATCATTGTAACTCTAAGGCTAGAAACTCACCACAGCATTTTGTCATTTTTCTCGACTCGTGAATTTAATACTGGCAAAATTAAATTGGCAAGCAATTTAAAATATTCACATGAGCGAATATCTGGGCATTTTCACCACAACTGGTGAAAATAACAGTCAAAAACTATCAAAAAACTGTAATTTGGGCTAGTTTTTTCCTAAACAGTGTATCAAGATTAACCCTACATGTGCAACATATATAAACTTTCTTTTTTTTGTGATTGACTGTTTTCTCGACATTAGCTATATTCACCGGCTCTTCTACCGACGTACCACATCAGCTTGCAGAAAGCCCATGGAAATATGTGGTAGAGTGGTGCATGTCTTAGCAATGTGGAACGTTTTGTGACAGTTCCACCCCGAGAATACGTCAAGACTAAATTCATTATTAACAATGATTGCAAAAACAAAATTGTCACAGATTTCGTTCACTTATTTTATTGTAGAGATTAATGAAATCAAATTCAATTTGTTGTTCATTCAAATTGTGCCATACTTTCTATTGCATTCATTACATTATAAAGGGCCGTAGTCGTCGCCCGGCGCATGTGTGACACCTGTGTTGATAAACATTGATTTTCCTACAATCAAATGCGCTCTTCTAATATGAAGTTTGGCCTGGGTGGGACTTGCACCAATTACAGCCGATGACTCCTTCAATCATACCTTCCAATCACCTAAAAAATACAACAATTAAAACTTGGTAACGTCCCAGTTTTTACTCGTTGATCTGCGCAAAATTAATGAAGTCGCCATCTGTTATATGAGACCCATTTATCTCGCGCATGCGTGGCGTGACGACTACCGCCCTTTAAGTTTCATTACTCATCCTGAAATTATTTGGACCGACAATGGATATATAATACGTCATTTCTATAAAGCACGCCCTCTAGTGACGCAGTTATCATTGCTAGAGGGCGTGACTTAGAAAGGATGTATACAACTTGTTCATTTTTCAAAGGTAACAGTCAAACTTTCTCAAATAAAATAAATATTTAGAATATTTTCATTCGTGCATATCTATTGTATTCATTACATTATAGGTACCACATGCATGGTGCCCACATAGAAAGACTGAATGTGTACTTGGGTGTCACCAATGATTTAGGTGAAGTGTTGTGGACAAGACGGGGCACACAAGGCAATGAATGGAAGAAGGCACAGATTACATTGGCTGGGTCCATTACTGGCACAAAGAGTGTAATATTTGAAGCACTACAGGGGATTGTACAGGGGGATATTTCATTGGATGATATCTCACTGGGGAATGGACGATGTGTGCAAGGTAGTCAGTACTTTCTATTCATTAGACCATTTCTAGCACCTTGCATGGGTATGTCAAATGTCATATTGTACATATTAAAGTAGGTACATCTATCAGTGAGTAATCATCTGTTTAGCAATATTTATGAGGTATAAATGGCATGCCACAACTGCAAACTTGTATAGAAAGTTG